TTTTTTTTTTTTGAGATGCTGTAATGAAATTTCAGTTAAAATAGACTAGCATGCTGCATTTTCTTCCCACCTTTGATTGTCAGGGTGTCTTTGAATTCAACCCTCTGTAGGTTGATCATTTTCAGTTGCATGTGGCATCCCTTTATTACCCAGTCCATATCAGTATAGATATCCAGCATGATTTCCTTCCCCGTTGAGATCTGGTGTGTTTTCAAAGTGTTCCTTGATTTTTTTTTTTTTTTTGCAGTAAATATCCTCCACATTTAAGAAGATACTGCTGCCATACATCATTACTGTGGAGTGGCTCTCCTCTGAACCAAGACCCAAAGTGTCAGCCAACTCCATGAGCATGTTTTTAGTAAACACATCAACATGAAACAAGCAAAAATAGTTTCTTGTGCAGTGGAAAAAGTCCTTACTGCGATGCACATATATAGAAAATCACAGTTGGGTAGGCGTTCAGGCACCTTTCTCTGCATTGTAACTCAAGCAGGTAATAGCTTCGCTAATGCACACAATTACTGATACCACCTAATTTCTTCTGTTATGTCATTGCACGATTAAAAGCCTTGAACACCGAGTACAAATTCTTTCAAACCAACATCATCACACACGCTTCACACAAACACACCGTCAGTGTTTAAGATTTTGTCTCTTTTTAAACGCATTAATCGCAGCATATCCAAAGCACAGCATGTATCACATGTGTCATACTGCTTTAAATTTGCTCTACAAATTCAGTTTACATTGCCGCAACACTGTATAAATAAACCTTTTTGCAACTATGAGGTCGTGCGTGTGAGTTTCATATCGACAAACTGCGATTTAATTTATAAGAAAGGAAAAAAGAGACCAACGTATGAAACACGTTTCTATTAGAGGTTTGTGGTCATGTTTACATGTCACGCAACTATCAATAACGACAAAGAAGAAAGAAGAAAATCTAATACATGAATGGATTTAACTGGATGCGCATTCATTAAGTCTATAAGAGCAGACACAGAGTGGCTAATTGAAAATATCACAGTGACATGCTGTCACTAATAGGTAACCGCCTGCTGTGACACTACCTACCTGCTGTAGATGTTTTTCAATCTCTTTAAAGACAGGATAAGCTTTAAACCCTTCCAGACCGCTGCCTGAGCTGGTGAGAACTGCACCCACGCGGGACCTGAAGGAAGAAGAAAAAAACTAAACTGATGTATGAGTTAAAGATTTCCTTTAGAATCTGCCTCGGCAAGTTATTCTTTAAGATAAGAAGTGAAAATGCTCCTTGCTGTATGAGAGGTATCCAAGTGAACTAATAACAAATCATTGGCAACTTCCTGCTCACCTTGCCTCCTCTGGGAAACCCATCTTGTAAAGTGTGACAACCACTGCTCCTCCCAAGCCAATGTTGTGCTGCAAGGCCACTTTTGCCCCAGAGACCTGCCTTTGCCCGGCCATCCCTCGGAGCTGCCAGCATAGCTCTGCACACTGGGCCAGACCTGTGAAAAGGCGAGCACATGGTAAACTTAGTAAACGTGGTTAACCAAGTTTACCTCCTAGATCACACGGACTTTTAATTTAAGAAAAATTATTATTTACCCATGTGACATGAAAGTGAAGGTTATTATTATGATTTCTTTTTAAGATGATCTGTTTTAATTATGCTAAAAAGAATTTTCATTTTTGTGGGCTTGCAAATTTTTTTATGCCTTTGTGCAACTTAATAATGAACATAAGAATACACTTAAGTATTCAAAAGTATTTACACACAGTAAAATCATCATTAATGTAAAGTATCATAGCTGGGAAGTTATTAAGAAACCCGCACACCCACAGAAAATGAATCCCAAAAGTAACCGTAACAACGTACCATACAAAACTTAACGGGTTCAGGACAAAGAAGCTTTTTCGCTGGTTTTTCAAAATATCTACAGGTTGCAGTAACAGGAAGGGGAAAGTTGCAGTCAATATTTATTTTACAATTCTTATTGAGAGGGGTGACAAAATGACTCCTAATCTGTGAACTTGCTCCCTAATCTCACCAGTGGCAGCTCCAGCACCAACCAATGCTACAGCTAAGCATTTCATCCCATCTGCTTAACGAGCTTTCGCATTTCTCCATTATCCCAATGAGCTAAGGAACTTAAGGCTAAAAGACCATGGTGCATCTCTCACATTCTGCGGCACTCGCCTAATTCTTTTTCATGTGGACTTCTGTGAGAGTGTGACTTTGCTTGAGTGCCATTTGGAAAAATTGCCACATGGTTCAAATTGGCACTTCATCAGTGAAGAGCCTGAGGGCATCTTGTCAGATCCATAATTTTCATCCAATGTAAAAAACCTTCACGTTCAAGACTGTTTGTCGTCACGCCCCCTCAAATATGAACTCATCTGCAGTAAATTCCCTCCCAAAAGCTCTTTCATAGTACCAAATTTTCATCAAAAGCCATTTGATTTAATAAAGGATAAAAGGGTGTAGTCATTCACCAAATACTTCGACCTATGAAACAGTGACAGCTCAAGGTCACTGGATGAGATGTCTACACATTAAAAACTAAATAAATAAATAAAATATATCACATCCTCCTGAGGTGTAGGTTGCTTCAGGCAATTGGCTGTTAGCATCTCTGCTCACAGTGTTACTGGGGGAAGAGGTCAGAGACTTACAAGCAAGATTTAGAGCAACACCATGGATCAGACAAAGCTTAGCTTAGTGGGGCACTCGCACGCTGGGAGTGTGACCCAGGAGACACAGGGAGTGCTGATGATATGGGCAGGGCGAAGTAATGGAAAAAAATACAAGCAAAACAATTAAGATGATAATTCCAAGATATTTGGTAAATACGGGTGAAGTGATTAATGACGTTCGCACTGTTTGGCCTGGTTATCTGTCCTTAGCGAGTCCATTTTTCCCCATGTTTGAGTCCATTACAGACGCTGGGCGAGCCAGCTGCACTGTTTGCTCAGTCTTGTCCCCCGACGATTTAAAACGCAGAGAGATTACAGGGGAAGCGTGCCAAAGTCACAGCCGGCTGCTCTCGCACATGCAGGCTTATGATCACTTTTACCCAGTGTCAGTGTAGGTGGCCGTTAATGCAAGACACGTGCCACCTGGTGGGCACGGTGGAAATCGCTTGTCAAAGTTTTCAAAGTGTATCCAGAGAAAACACTTGTTTGTTGAGCCTGATTTGTGAATACGAAACGCACGTGGCTACGAGACGTTTTTAGTTCAAACTTTTTTTAAATTTCATCACTTACAAATGATTTGCATCAAGAGTCAGAGTCTCTTCTTACCTGTGGCACCAAGGGGATGTCCTTTAGAGATGAGGCCACCGCTGGGATTGATCACAAACTTGCCTCCATATGTGTTGTCCCCTCTGTCAATCAGTTCTCCCGCTTTACCTGTAGAAACGGTACTTCTTAAAAAGTAATTTATCTGTAGGCGTACATCCATGTGAGGTAACATGACCTCATTGATACTGCACTACAAGATCATCTGGGCGGTTCAGTAAAGCTGAATTAGCCGTCATTAAATTTAGATATAAAAACTTTGGGAATTGTATCAAAATCATTTAAGTTCCTTTGCTGCCAGTATGGTCATTAAACAACACTGCCACCTGCTGCTCAGTCAACGCAAAATACCTTAACATATCACCAGGGACAATTCAGGGGAAACACTGACATAAATTGTGATAGAGGCTCAATGGATATGGAGAATACATCAAGGTTTGATGAGATGCAGTCTTACCCTCTGGACACAACCCCAAGGCCTCATACGTGATGAGCTCATTGGCTGAGAAGCAGTCGTGCAGCTCGACCACATCAACGTCATTTGGCTTCAGACCAGCGGCCTCGAAACACTTCTTAGCCGCCAGCTGGGACATGTCATACCCCACCTGGAAAGGAAAAGTGTTTGTCACCATCAACCCAATTATTTGTTTGTTGTCACCAGTGTGCGTGTCAATAACTTTCAATTTCAGATTTCTTGCCATTTTAATGCAGCTGTTCTCTTCAAATGTGGACGTCAGGTCGGTCACCATCTCCTGGGCCACAATCTCCACCGCCTGGTTCTGCAGGTGGTATTTCCTGACAAAGGGCTCGCTGGCCAAAACTGCTGCTCCAGCACCATCTGATGTAGGGCTGAGAGGAAAAGAAGACAAGACAAGAAAAAAAAGAGGCATAGTTGTCAGAAAGTGAAATGATTATCAGTAACCGATGATAAGAATCTGTACTTCGATCAACACTTGTGTAAGTTTCTTACCAGCACTGCAGGAGCGTAAGAAAGTCAAACACCTTCCTGGATTTCATCACCTGCTCCAGACTGTACTCATCCTGGAACTGGGAGTACCTGCGTGTACAAACACAAATATTTACACCCTCATTTGAACAAAAAAAGACCAATATGAACGCTGAATGCGGTCAGCTGTGTCTTACGGGTTATTGGTGGAATGTTTGTGGTTTTTCCAGGCAATCTTGGCAAAGTGTTCTGGCTTTGTGCCTAAAGGAGAATCAAAAATACTGCAAACACCGTAGAGAAAATGCCATAATGTAAAATGATGACAACAATGAAGATTTTACAATAGCATTCCTACTGTAGTCTGTAGGAATTGCTTTGTTTGGATGATATGTTTACCATATTTCTCCATGTGCTCCCTGCCGGCATTTCCAAACATCTGTGGTGCTGCTGGCGCTGCTGCCATCCCATAGCGGTTGATCATCACCTCCATGTGCTTGTCCATGGGATTTGTCCTATCCATGTACTTTAGAAAAGAAAAAAAAATGCAATAACAGACTAAATTTTCCTTCCACATATGGGCTCTCTAGTTCCAGACGGATATAATTATTTGACATTTTCTTGAAATTTTTAGTCTGTCTCTCCCAGTTTGACCTGATATGGATTTGTAAAGACAGGAAGTGAAATGTAAATCTTTACCCATCGTGCAATGGTAAACAATCCTTTGCAAAATCTTTAGATCCGGGTCTGAATTGACTCCAAAAGTTACAGTATTT